GAAAATGATTTTTTTTTTTAATTTTTGATACTATCTCTTTTAATTTTATTAAAAAGATGACAAATATTTTAGCCCATAATATTGTCAAATCTTAGTATATATTGGATGACCAATTCTGTACTTTAACCAGAAAAATGCATTTGCTGGGAGTCAAACCCGGGTCTATTGCTCGGAAGGCAATTATCATAACCGTTGGACTAAAAACAAGCATATGCTAAGGGGCGATTTTAAAATATTAATGTATTTGCTAGAAAAAAGAGTTAATCGGAGCCGATATAGTAACCATGATAAGTGCATAATTTACATAATTATTAGTGTTTATTTTGATGTTTATTTTATCAATTTTGATTATTTGGTGCTTTTTTTTTTGCCATAGATTATTTGGTGTTTAATTTCCTTTGATTTTGTTCCATAGGTGTAATTGAAGACTTTGTTAGAAAAGGGACCAAATTGAAGAAAATTGAAGCTAGAAGCACGAAAAGGGAATTTAGCCAAGTCAAATTAAAATTGGAACAAAGCAGATCTGTGATTAGCCGCGCGGGCCAACCTTGGCCACGCGCGGGCAAGCATAATTTTGGAAGCCGAAATTTCTCTGGGATAAGCCGCAAGCAGGCCTTGGATGTGCGTGACCGGGCTTTCTCCTATTTTTATGGGTTTCATATATTTTCAACTAATAATTATTTTCAACGAATTTTAGATTAATTAAAATCAAATTCCACTTATTACTAGTTCCTTTAGGATTTACTAGTTTTAGTTTTCATGTGTGTTGCACGTGGTCCAACGTGTTAAAAAGGAATATTCATATGAAATTATAATAACCTCCCTATTAAATTATGATGATAATTATACTATTTTTGATAACCTCTTTATGAAATTTTGATAACATTCCTATGAAATTTTAATAACTATACTATGAAATTTCGAAATTTTTTTATCATTTTTTTAACCTTCTTATGAAATTTTGTTAACCTCCATAATGAATTTTAAAGACCTCACTATAAAATTTTGATAACTTCCCAATGAAATTTTGATAACCAACACTATGAGATGTTGATAACCTCCATATGATAGGATATATTGATAACCACGTTATGAAAATTTAAAAACTTCCATATGAATTGTTAGTAATCACACTCTAAAATTTTGATAATCACTACTCTAAAATTTTGATAATCACTCTATGCAATTGTGATAAGCTCGCTATAAAATTTTGATAAACCTTCCTATAAAAATTTGATAACCTCCATACGATTTTTTATAACCTCATTGTGAAATTTTGTTAATCTCCCTATGAAATTTTGATCTACATACTATGAAATTTTGATAATTCTCTTATGAAATTTTGACAACCTTCATATGAAATTTTGATATCCTCCTGGAAATTTTGATTACTCTATAAAGTTGGGTAATTATTTGATACACCGGCGGTGTAAATTTTGGACTCCACAAGCGGGTTGTGGAGTTGACACATGTCCATTTTTGGAATTAATTAAGTTTTAAATACTTCAATCTAGTCACTGGAGGACACATGTCACCCTTTAGGACCCGCATGTGTAGTCTGTTAAACTCCACTGACGGTGTATTGGATAATTTTCCATAAAAGGTTAATAACCTTCCTAAATTGGTAACAAAACTATGAAATTTTGATAACCTTCCCAGAAATACGACTATAAAATTTTGGTAATCACATTTGGAAAATTTGATAACCTCTTTATGCAATTTTGATAACCTCTCTATAAAATTTTGTTGACCCCTCTATGAAATTTCGATAATCACATTATGTAATTTTGATAACCTCACTTTGAAATTTTGATAACAACACTATGAAATTTTGATAAACTTCCTATAAATTTTGATAATCCAATCTCTATAACCTTCTATCAAATTTTGGTACTCCTTATGAAATTGAGACTTTTATAACCTTCATATGAAATTTTGATAACCAGACTAAAAAATTTTTGATAATCATACTATGAAATTTTGATAACCTCCCCATGAAATATTAGTAACCTCCTTATGAAATTTTGTTAACCACACTTTGAAATTCTTATAACCCTGCTATGACATTTTGATAATCTCTTTGATGACCTTTCTATAAAATTGTGATAACCACACTATGAAATTTCAATAACCTTCCTAAAAAATTTTAATAACCTGATCTTATGAAATTTTGGTAATCATACTATGAAATTTTGAGAACATTCTTATGAAATTTTGATAAGTTCCATATGAAATTTTGGTAACCACACTATGGAATTTTGATAACCTCCTCATGAAATTATAATAACCATCTTATGGAATTTTGATAATCACACAAAGACAAGAAAATCAAATCATAATATCATCTACTCTTCTAGCTCAACAATTTCCAATTAAACAAATTGCGGTAAAACATTATATAACGAAGAGATGGAGCTTCCCTAACAATAGTATTGTACGTGTTAGTGTGTGTTTAATCTTATATATTGACATTTAAAATATTGAAATTAAGTAAAAAAAAATTGAAATTAAAAGTAAAATATTAAATTCAATGAATAATAGTAAAGGAAATTTGCATGTTCATCAACGAAAATCAATTTGACAAACTTATAATTCGGTCTAAATTGAATTTTTAATTAATTTTAAATAATAAAATTATACTAAATTTTAATAATGTCAATTTAGAAATATATTTGAAAAAAGGTTACAATAAAAAAACATAAAGTTTCCCATTATTCGTAGAAATTTGCATGTTCATCAATGAAAATCAAATTTACAAAATTATAATTCGGTCTAAATTGAAAATTTTTAATTAATTTTTAAATAATAAATTTTAATAATGTCCATTTAGAAATATATTTGAAAGAAAGGTTTACTCAAAAAAATATTTGAAAAAAGGGTACAATCGGAAAACATAAAGTTTTCCATTATTTGTACTTTTATATATATAGTATAGATAGATTTGGAGAAACTATTGATTTTGTCTCATTTCGGTCCAATCATCCATTAGGCTCGTTTGAGTCCATGAAGTTCAAATTGCCAAGCCAGATGTCTTGAAGTCTAAATCTGATATTCTTAGACTCAATTCGTTGATATGGAAGCCCAAAGAAGGAGTCTAAGTCCAATTAGTAATTATGATGCAGTAATGATTAAGCACTGATGCAACATTGTTAAATTTTATTTAAAAGAGGAATTCACAAGAGCAATTCTAGAAGAAAATTCTTAACTTTTGATCCATAACTCAGAAAAATGCAAATGAGGTACTTTTGGAAAAAGGATTCTGAGATCTACAACTTTTATGTTTATTTCGAGACCTAATTCTAATTAATGAAAATTCAAATATGAAAAATTCTAACATATTATTCTAATTCTTAACTTTTATGTTTTGGATGAAAATTCAGATGTTAAAGGTGATGTGGGTATCCCTATTGGCCACGTTGGATCTTAATTAATGAGGATAATCTAAATTTCCATTATTTTAATATTGGAATAATTAAAATATTATTTAATAATGGTAATTTAGAAATATATTTGAAAAAAGGGTACAATCGGAAAACATAAAATTTCCCCTTATTCGTACTTTTATATATAGTATAGATTAATTATTTGTAATCTTTATTTTATTTTTCCTATTTCTTTTAGGTTTAGAATGTAACCCCTATATAAAGGGAAGCTTTGTACTTAGAATAACACACAATTTTATCTACTACCCTCTACTCTTCTACTTTCTTTAAGACAATTTTAGGGAGTTTTTCTTACTCTCTCATGTTTTTTCTTTATTTTATTTTAATGATAGTTTATGTTTTTATTTTCATGAGCATGAATAGCTAAATCCCTAATTAGGGTTAAGTTGTAGCCAATTGGGGATTAATAATTGATTTTATGTCTTGAATTGATCTTTTTAAATTGGATTTGTTTTTCTTGTTCTTCATACAAATTATATGCCTGATCATCATATAGTTTATCTTAGGGAATGTGTCATGTACTGATGGGTGAAACATAATCTGTACACTAGGAAAACAAACAGGTTAGACTGGATCACACATGAATCTTAGACTAATTTGATAGATTTTTTTTTGCCAAATCATCTACTTATTTTATTAATAACCATTAAAACCAGGATTACATTCACTAATCCCCTAGATCTAAAATAGAAGAGAAATATAGAAAATCTCAAAGAACTAGACCTAAGAAACTAGCAGCATTAAGGATCAACCGGCAGAGCTAGGACCCCATCCTTGTCAAATATGTGGAGCAGAGGGAAAGGGGGATGAGAAACCCATCCTTCAGGGCACTTTCCCAAACGAGCAGAATTGGCTACCCAGTCGGCAGCAGAATTGGCTTCACGCCTAACTAAGTTGAATTTAACCTCTTCCAGATTTTGCAAATGGTTTTTGACATCCCACAATACAGGCTCTATTCTCCCCCCTTCTCCTTTTAACAGTGGCGAGAGCATAAAACAATTCCTCAGAATCTGTTTCAAATATAGCGTTTGTCCCACCAGAGGCCTGGGCAAGTCTCCCTGCCTCTAACAGAGCCTTAGCTTCAGCTTCAAGAGCAGAGGCTGCCTCAATCCTCAAACCACTGCCATTCACAAGCTTACCCTCGCCATTTCGCACAACAATGCCCACTCCAGCACTCCCATTCTTAGGGTCAAATGAACCATCACAGTTATCTTTCAAGAAAGGAAACAAGGAGGGACCATACCATAGAGGCCTTTTTAGATTGCTGATTATCTTTTTTAGCCTCAGGGGACTTCATGGTAATTTTTATGAAACTCCACACTGCATTTTGACTTCTCATAACAATCTGTCTGGGGTTGACAGCCTTGTGCTGGAAGACACTCTCACATCTACCCTTCCATATTGATCAGGTTGTAAATGTGACAAGGGGATTGTTATTCACTTAGTTCATAAAATTGTATTTTTATCACCTTGCTAGGTCTGAAAATTATGGACCAAGGATTAATGATTCTTTTTCTCAAAAAATAAAGGGGGATTAATGATTCTTTTCAGATGCAAGAACGTATATTTTTTCTCTTAAATTTCAAGTGAAAGCCAAAGCCATTGAAATTGAACTTGAAAAGTAGATAGATTGATAACATCCAATGAAGTCAATTCTTTATCAAATAAGGAGATAAAAATATAATAGTTCAATTTGTTTATTTGGTGTTGAGCTCTTAAAATCTTTTAAACTATATTTATTGATTGATTTATGTATTTCCCTTT